ACAACAATCTTCCCCTTTGAATTTTTTTGGCAAAACAACTCTTCAAGCAAAAATACAACTGAGTACCAAAAGATCTCATACTCAGAACCTAAATCCCAAACACTTAATTTATAAAATAAAGCGGATTAGTTTACTCAAAAGGTGTCACATTTTCTCAACATAAACATCTTTCAAATCATATTATAGTAGCAAAAATAAATCTCAACACAACTTTAATTGTCTCATAAATAAAATCAACTTCATTTTAAAACATAAAGAAATTGGTTCAATAACTTTTAGAAACACAAAACAAAGGTCAAAACGTCCTAGTCTTACACTATAAGAGTGACACGTGAAACTAAAATAAACTCAAAAGCGATAAACCATGAAGAAGGCCACTATGACATCCTCCAATTCACCGGCAGCTAAGGCTCTTCTACCTGAGTATTTGTACCACCGGGGTAAAGAACAACACAAAAAACAAACAGCGAATGATAATACATTCATAAATGTTAATGGTGTATAAAATAGCAAGGATAGCTCAACAATATCATTCATAAATCACATAGATCATTCACAACAAAAATCAATCACAAATGTGATTACATATGCAATGCATTCATCTCCTCTACTTCAATGCATGTGGTACCAAGGTTTTAGGATGCTAGAGTTATGTTACTGAATAATCTCATCAGTGGTCCTCTTGCTGAACCAGGACTCATTACATGTACCGTCTCTGACCTTGGACCCAACATTGGACTAAAGTCCCAGACTCATCACTGATCCCATATCTGAACTAGAAACTAGTCATTGGACCAAAGTCCACACACCTATCTCTGATATACATGATGCATGAATGCGACAAACAATACAAATGTAATACCCGTTTTAATCCTCCAACTCCAACACTAGTCTCGGGTTCCCCTCTGAACCTAAGACTCGTCATCATACCAAAGTCCCAAACTCGTCATTGATCTCCTCTCTGAACTAGTAACTCGTCATTGGACCAAAGTATGTGCATTGCAAATATAATGCCATAATGAATGGCTTCTCTCTAAACCAAGCACCTCGACATAATTCTAGATAATATATAAACATCGTCAATCTAAGGCCACAACAGTGGTTTCTCTCTGAACCACACATTTCAACTTAACTCAACAATTTCATTATAACTCAGCATAATAGTTAAATATATAACTTCTCAATAATACTCATTAATATGGTAAGAAAACATCAACAACCATACGCACTCAACAAGGTTTACTCGAAACTCAATAGAGATCACAATTAACTCTTCCACTTTTTATTCAAAAATAAAGAGTCATAAGGCTTACTCTAACCTTAACTCGTTTACTCTTCAAATCAACTCTGAACATATCAGATGACTCAAACTAAATTCATTTAATTCACACAACTCTCAACACATAAAACTCAACTCTAAAACATTAAATAACTCAAAACTCAACCCTCTTGATTCAAATCTAATAAAAAACATATCAAACTCAACTCTAACCTATCAATTAAATAAATTGTTAAAGGGTTTCCCAAAATTCTAGACTTAACTCTAAAAATATCTCACTTCACAGTAGCACCAAATATTATATACTTACGATAAAATTATGAAACTCTCTAGTTTAAAATTTATTAAACCCTCTTTCAAACACAATTGATCGTATCTCGATTGGAGTTACGAAACTTCAGTTCTATTTGTTTTAGTTTAGCCATATCATGATATTTCATGCATAAACTCTAAAATATAATGTCTGACTTCACAATAGCATCAAAAATTATAGAATTATGATAAAATTATGAAACTCTCCAGTTTAAAATTCCTTTAAACCATCTTTCAAACACAATTGATCACATCTTGATCAGAGTTACGAAACTCCAGTTACGTATGAAACAAGATGGCCCACACATGATTGAAATTTGACTACGCCTATGGTATAAAAAACTAGAGAACTGCTATTATTGTAGCGCTCCTAGACCCAATTTACCCACTTCAAAAGAAATATTATTGCGGTAGCTTTCTAATTCAATGGACGACACCTCAAATGAACTTACGTAACTCAATTTATGCATGAAACAAGACGGTCAATCCCCCACTATGCATGTCTCCTATTTTTTTTATGTTTTCTCCCTATTGAACAGATCCAAAACTCGCATGTTTGAGTCTCAAATGCCACAACACACACAGATAAATATAACCTTGGACAATATGACTCAAACATCATAGATTCAACATTTTATCACATCAAACATCACAATTTCAGCATTTAACTCCCGCTTTATCATAAGACATCATCATATTTTATTAATTCATAACTTATACTCTCGCATTATCATAAGGCATCAAGATATTTTATTAATTCATAACTTTTATACTCTCGCCTTATCATAAGGCGTCAACATACTTCATCAATTCAACTCTCGCCTTATCATAAGGAATCAACATATATTATCAATTCCAAATCAACAATTAATATAGTACAAAAGGAATTCATATCATATCAACCTCCTTAGAGAGGTTTTGCGCAAACTTTCTTCAGCCACAAAACATCATCAAAGAGGAAAAGAAAAGGGAAAGAGAATGAGGGTAAGGAACCCTCGCTATCCACCTGCTTAAAACATCCATACATGAATAATTCCCCTCCCTTACCTTGAATTCGAATAAAATTTAAGCTTTGGCTATGAAACTCCCTTATCATCTCCTGTGGTTTTCTCTTCTCTCTGCTATCCACCTGCTTAAAACATCCATACATGAATAATTCCCCTCCCTTACCTTGAATTCGAATAAAATTTAAGCTTTGGCTATGAAACTCCCTTATCATCTCCTGTGGTTTTCTCTTCTCTCCCTTGCCTCTTTTACAACTTTTTCACGTACTGCAAATTTTTCCATATTTTTCTTTCTTAAATAAATAAAACCTAATTCTCCTATATTTTAATTAATTTCTAAAAACTCCCCTCAACTCTCTATAACTTCGCCCACCTCCCTAATTTCTTTAAAAGTCTATTTTATTGCCCCGAGACTAATATTCTCATATTTTCTCTATTAATTAAATAATTAAAAATATAATGAAATCTACTTTACTGTTAAACCACCAACCCTCACTTCTACACTAATTCTAACAAAAATTCACTAACTCAAATTATTAAACTAAAAACACTTCAAAACTCTATAAAAATATATATAAAAAATAGGGGTGTTACATCATACATCAACGACACTAAAAGCAGAACATCAGCAACACAAGTCAGTAGCATGATAGTTGATACACATCAGTTAGTTGACATATAATGCTCCCATAAACAATTAACATGCAATCATTCATGACAGGTTAGTCATGCATGGACACACAGTTAGTAGTCAGAGGTCAGAAGCTACTACTAACACACAAAGATATCAGCACACACAACCACACAAGGTAAAGAGAGTCATATTCCAAGCCATATGCTTTAGCATATGTGCTTATCAATTGGTACGAATCTGAACATTATAGTACTAAGCATAGCAGGATACACCAATCCACTACACACACCATTACTCCCCCCTTTTTCTACAATTTGGCAAAGGTGTTCCACAAAGAATTCAATCAGTCAACACATGGGTTAGTATGTTAGCACATACACACACCAGATTAGGAGTAGACAGACAAGATGTTAAACACGATGCTAGAGAATATGTTATTTAAATTCAACACTTGGTGATACTTGGTTCAAATTTAAGGTTACATCACCATTACAATTCAAAAATAATACCCAAGTAAGGGCCAAAAATACAAATGAAAAGAAATCAAAAGATGTACTTTAATCAACAACCGGCTATATCATGAACCACATGTCAGACCAGATGTCTGATACATCTTAGTTGACAACATCAGACAACATCCATAATCACTCTCAGAATCATGTTTTTCACTTTCAGCTTCTTTTTCAGCATCCTCTTCATTGGTCAACATCATGATCAAATCATCCACCTTCTTTTTCCTGATGTTGCTTGAAGTGATTTTTGCTTGTAAAGTCTTAAACACTTCCATCAATTCATGAACATCCTCTTTGTTAGCTTTGGACGTAGAAGAGAAAATCTCACTAGTTGCATGATTTTTGTTGGCTTTGTAAAGTCTTATACACTTCCATCAATTCATGAGAATCCTCTTTGTTGCTTTGTTATCCAACAAAGAGCCTATAGTCCAAAATCATTATACCTAGCTTTTTGATCTTGATTTCATTAGTATGCACCATGTTGGGCGGTTCTTCACTATGATTCCAATGATTAAACAGAGAAAGGAAATGGGAAGTTTCACAGCATAAGAGTCATCATGTTTCTTTATTTGATTAGAAACATTTTCACCAAAATTCAGTTTAGACTTTGTCCCAATTTGAAAAATAAGCTTGGCCAAGACAGATGTGATGCTTTAGCTATGGTTGTTGGGTGCCCAATTTGTTGCTCCAATTCTATTCAACATTGCATATTTCACATTAAGACTTTTAGAGCAAAGTAATTTATTCTTTGGCAATTGCTCAACTTGATTAGTTGTGTTTTCTCTAGAAATCTTGTCGAGAGAGGGAAAAACATTAGGTTTGGCATTCTTGCCTCTATCTAGATAAGCATTGGTGACTTCAGGGTGAAAACTTCCCACAACATCCTCTAACATAAACTTTCCAGGATTATTTTCTCCATTTCTTAATGCAATCACGTGACAAATTAATAATAAATTCCTTGACAAGCCTCTCATAGCAAGTACCAAAGTGTGTCATAGTTTTTAGTAACCCAACTTCCTTCAGCAAATTCTAGATTTAGGGTCAGCCAAGAGTAACCTCACTCATATCCTTTTCTAAAGTAACTATTTTTTTGCACACAAACCTCCACTTCTTAACACTTTCTTCATAGTGAAATGACACTTTGCCCAAAGGAAAAATAAGAACATTCATATGCACCCTTTTTCCTTCAATCTTCTTTCTAGAAAATGGGACAGTGTCAAGGACATATGCTTCAACAACTGATTTTGAGTCACTTGATACTACAAGCTTCTTCTTAAGAGATTGTCTTTTAGTGGCAGTCTCTTTGATTTTTCTCTGTTGAGGAGTTCCCTTTTCTTTTTCTCTTTTAATTCATCAGATAGAGTTCTAGACATTATTTTCATAGCAAGTTCTTCATTTGTTTTGTTTTCTTCCTCGACATCAACCACCTCTTTAACCTTCACTTGAGTTTCCTTGTCTTGAGGTCTAGTCACTCTTTTAATGAGACTCTTCATTATATGGACAATATGGATGTTATTATTCTCATTTATTTCAAAATTCCTATCCTTTTGTCCATTATCTTTTCCACCATGAGAATCCTCACCACTCACTTCATTGTTTCCATCAGATTTCTTACTTAGAACTTCAACCTTTACATTCTTTTCTCCTTGAGCTTCATGTTCTTCATTCTGATCATTCTCAACGGTTTGGTCTTTAGAAGAGTCTGAGTCTTTATTCCCATCCAATATGTTGTTCAGAAAAACATCAAAAATAGGAGCATCCACAACTGAACCAATAGGGTGTTCAGCCTGGGGTATACTAGATGTTAGAACAGATGCTTCAGCATATGGTTCAACATGTTGATCTCAGGTGATTCAACATGTGGTATCACATCTTGTTCTTTACTAGTGGTCTTACCAAGATCGTATTTATTCCCACTGGGGTTGGGTTTAACAATATTCATAATTTCAACAGGATTATTCAAATAGGGTTCACCTTTTAGGGTATTAAACTTTTCAGACGAGGTCTTCTTTTTGATAGCAGCATTCTTTGATTCTTTTATTGAAACATACACTAGAACAATCATCTTCATAGGTTTTGGGCCTAAGTACATGATGGTTGTAGCGGCTGAAAAATTCAAAGAAGTCACCACCATTATTTATTTGTCCTAAGGATAAGGAACTAATGGGAAAACCCTAAAGGTATGGGAAAGGAGGCAAGGCATGTAAGTATAAAGTCATGAGTTCGAATCTCACTTGCTCTATATTTTAACATTTTTTCTTTTATTTTTTACTAACTTTATTTCTATTTTCAGAATCACAAAATTGCATTTTTTTAATATTTTAAGATCAAATTTCGTTTTTATTTTAGGGAATTTTTTAAAAATAATTATTTATTTAATTTTATTCACTTTTTACCAAAACAGAGTGCAAAAATAATAATAAATACCAAAAATATTTTCTTTTCTGGTTAGTTGTTTCTTGTTGGTCAGTTTATGTCAATGTCTGTCATACTTAGAGTCTCATTGTTCAACTTATTGACCAAGAAATATCTGATTTGTCAATTTAGTTTTAATTACTTTTTAAATACTTTTAACCTAATTCCTCACACTATAAATAGGCCTTTCTTTCACACTATGAGAGGACCCACAATTTTGCAATTTCACTAACACACAAAAATATTCACAATTTTTCAACTTTTTTTCTTCACACATTTTTTTTCAAAAAACCTTTATTCCAAGATCATCGGGGGCAAAACATTCCAAGGTCAACTTAATCTGGGACATAGAGGTTTCAAAGTTTAAAATAGTGGGGTCAGTTATCTCAAATGTATAAAATGACCAAACTGCTTCAAAATTCATATCAAGGTTAATCTTTGTAAAGACCCAACAAACAAGGGTAAGACATGCCACAAAGGGGAAAGCTCTCACAATCCTCAGTGAATCCCTTTCCTACATCAGCAATATTCAAGTTTGAAACAAGTATCAAAAAGTCATGTTAGCATAACACCCTACCATCATGTGACAAGCAGCCTTGTTACATAAGCAACCCCTAATTCTTAACCATCCACGACCCATCATAGGGTCACCAGTCGAAAACATCCAAGTCATCATAAATTATCTTCATGCATTCATAAGGTCGATTCGCTCTAGCATCTAACCATACATATCATCTCATCCATCTATCATATTCCTGTATCAAGAATCTAACATCTACCAAAAACCCAATCTCAGAAAGCCTGATCTCACTTGGCATTTACCATAAAATCCCAATTACTCATTGACATTTCAACCATCCATTGATACATGTCCAAGTTACTCATTGTATGCATTGGTCAATCATTAAATTTCATGCATCAATCAAAATAATCATCACACTTCATGCCTTGAGAAAAACAAATCTCATTTAATTATCATGCATAGCGAGACCAATTTTCATTAGTACTTCAAAGTCCAACATAAATTGGAAATCAAAAGCTCGATTATATTTTTCATCAATTTCTGTCTGGCAGTCATTTCTCGCCTGACAGTTGAATCAAAACCAGCTCTCGTCTGGTGGTTTTCCAGTTCCCATATGGAGGCTAATTTTTAACCCCAGTTCCCGTCTGGTAGCCTACCTTAAAGTCAGTAGTTCATCTTCAATAACATGTGCATCACATTGATCAATCATTGCATAAGTCATCGTCATGCATTAATCACGTCATTTCACTTAAGCATATCATGTGACATATCATGCACCAAGCACTCATAAACATTCTCATATCAATCATACATTACCAAAACATACCTCGCATTAACACGTACATCAAGCATAACCATATCAAACATGCAAATTATGCATTGCACTCAAATCATAAAGGCCCATAAATACTTTAAAATATATCAGGCCTATTATCCAGCTAAGCCGCCTGCGCAAATCAAAAATTCAAATCTTAGCACTACTCATTTTACACCATAAACAGACATAACATTTAGAGGTACCAAAGTCAAAGTTACACTAGGCAGCTTACCTACGATTCATATCAAAATCCTAGTCATCATCAGCCTACAGGCATATTATTCAAGTTTCAACTATCTAGTTTCAATTACTAAGTTTCAATTATCAAAGTTTCAATTATCAAAGTTTTAGTTATCAAACTCCATTATCAAGTTCATGTTTTCAAAATAAAACCTGCATTATTTACCCCTTAAGTTGTGGTAGATATGCAAAATTAGCGATATAGCTTGTTACATTAGTCTCTAAGCAGTAATAAGTTAATTTTTTTCAAATTTTTGATTCTATCCGATCAATCCCGTGGCAAAGATAGAGTTGATACTTGCATTTTTTACCCCCTAGGTTGTGGTAGGAATGCAAAATATGCGATATAGCTTGTCACATTAGTCTCCAAGCAGCAATAAGTTACTTTTTTCAAACTATCAATTCTATCTGATTAGTCCCGAGGCAAAGATAGAATTGTTATCCGTATTATTTACCCCCTGGGTCGTGGTAAAAGTACAAAAATCTATGATATAACTTGTTTCATTAGTCTCTAAGCAGTAATAAGTTATTCAAATTTCAACACCATCCGATCAGTCTCGTGGCAAAGATGGAGTTAATACCTGCATTGTTTATCCCTTAGGTAGTGATAAGCATACAAAAGCTGGAATTTAGTTTGTTGCATTAGTCCCGAAGCAGTAACAAGGCTACTACAAGTATCATCTTTTCTCATATTTATCCGACTAGTCTCCAAGCAAAGATAGATATGTCAATTTACACTCCAGGGATCGATGAGTTATATGCGCCATCCCTACCCCTTTTCATTTTTACCACTTTTTCTTATTTTCAAATGTTTTCAAAAAGTTTTTGGTCAAATCTTGGGGTCTTCCATTATTTAATAATCCTCTAATTCGAACGTGCGAGAACTTCGTATCCTCGTACCCTTCAATCGAAGAGTAATTAAATATGGGCAATTGTCATACCCCAAATTTGTCCGCCTTATTTTCTACAGTCAAATGATTTTCAAAATTGGTTTTTATAAATTTCTATGGTTTATTTACACTAATATTTTGAATTTTATAGATCTTTATTTTCAATTTATTATTCCTATTTAAAAATATATAATAGTTTACTTTAAATTATTTGTATTTCTTAAATAACAAATATTTTTTCACTCTTCATATGTTTTCAAGTTCTTCTTTATTTCGAATAAATGATATAGCATAATTGGTAAAGAAGTTAGACTTGTAAGTATAAGGTTATAGGTTCGAATCACACTTGCTCTATATTTTAATATTTTTTCTTTTATTTGTTACTAACTTTATTTCCATTTTCATAATCACAAAATTGCATTTTTTATTATTTTAATTTCAATTTTCGTTTTTATTTTAGGGCATTTTTTAAAAATAATTATTTATTTTATTTTATTCACTTTTTTTCCCAAAAGGGAGTGCAAAAATTATAATAAATACTAAAAATATTTTCTTTTTTGGTTAGTTGTTTCTTATCGGTCACTTTATGTCAATGTGTGTCATTCAAAGTCTGATTGGTCAACTTGCTCATCAAGAAAGATCTGATTTATCAATTTAATTTTGATTCCTTTTTTAAATACTTGGCTTAAATGCAGTTTTGACCCCCTATTTATATTTTTCTGAACTTTTAAGTCCCTGTTTTCAAAATTCAGCATTTTAGTCCCCAAATATACTATTTTTTGGCATTTTTTAGTCCCCTCCAGAAATGCATATGTGGCACATAAGAATGTTGAGTTGTTCAAATGGCCTTAGTGCCACGTATTTTAAGCCTATTACTTAATTAATTTTAATTATTATTAATTTATGAAAATATTGTAAACCTAGATCTTCTCTTACGCAAATATCATTCTCTATTATCCTAATCCTTTCCTGCCCTAATCCTCTCTTGCGCAACGATCTTCTAAACCCATCCTTAAATCCTCTTCATCTTAGTTCTTCAGATTCGTTCTTCAGCTCCGTGCAATAAGTTGCGTTTGTTCTTCAGCTTTGTTCTTCAGCTATGTGCAATAAGTTGTGTTTGTTCTTCAGCTTCGTGCAATAAGCTGCGTTTGTTCTTCAGCTTCGTTCGTTCTTCAGTTAGCATGTCTCGGTATTGTGAAGCAAGTAGTTGAACCAAATCTCCCTCCATCCATGGCAAATGTAGATGTGGTCGCGATGCACCGTTGATGACATCATGGACTGATGCTAACCCAATACGTCATTTTTATGGGTGTGGGATGTACAAGTTTATAAGCTATCTAAATTTATGTAAATTCCATCTGTAATTTTCACCAGTTATCATTGAGAATTACTGTAAATTTCTTCTGTAAATTTATGTAGATTCATGGGTATAAGCGGTGAAATCATTTTGTTTGGTATGATGAAGAGATAGGTCCTAGAGAAAAAGACATGATTTCAACATTGAACCAGAGACTGAATATTACAAACTCAAAATTGATGCAGGGAAGATCCAAGAATATGAATTGAATAGGAAGATCAAGAGTTTGAAGATTGAAATCAAGTATTTAAAATTATCGATTGATATGGTTGTTGTGTTGGTAGTAGGACTAATTGTAGGAATTGTAATGAATTAGGATGTCCAATGTTGTTCAATGTTTTATCTCAGTTTGTTCCAAATGTATCAGTTAATGTAATATCAATGTTGTTCCAAATGTAATTTCAGTTTGTTATATCAAGATTTATATGAATGTTGTATAATAGCTTGTTCCAATTGTATCAGTTATATCAATGTTGTTCCAAATGTAATTTCAGTTTGTTATATCAAGATTTAGATGAATGTTATATATCATTTTGTTCCAATTGTATCAGTTATATCAATGTTGTTCCAAATATATCAAGATTTATATGTTCATTATAGGTCATTTTTAATGGTTTTTTATATCCTACAGATAATAGATCAAGTTTATTTGAAGTTACAGATAACAGATAACAATTTGTTATATCCTACAGCCAATTCATTAATGCTTTCATGGCAGATAACAAAATGTACCAAAATAACAACATAAATTAACCATAAAACTTGTCCATTAAACATAATATCATAATAACATTACAACTTAATTATATTATTTGTTCATTAT